GCAGGAACCATTTAAAGGACCAACTCTTAGTGACTTCTCAAGAAGCTAACGTTTCAACAACTCTCCTACTAGAGGCAGTGGTGTTGTTGCTAGATCCTAAGCTCCCTTGGGTGTGCAAAATAGTCAGTTTTCTCCTGCAAAGAAATGTATTCACTTTGTTTCGAGAAATTGTCACTACAGCAAAGGTATATTGCCACAGTACTCCATGATTATGTCCAACCAGCTGGATCTTCTAGTTCGTTGCAAGTTTTGTGGATAGACGTACCTTACTTTCCTTGCCCTCTTTGTTAAGTGATAGTTGTCCTATTTCAGGAAAGCCCAAAGGCTCAGTGTTTGACAGGGAATACCCTCTCACTAGAGAGAGTACTTATGCTAATTGTACCACATGTCGGTCATGAGCTGTGTCACTGCCCTGTTGTTGACCCTCTGTGGAGTTTCTCATCACAAATCCTTACCATACCTTTCTTATGGCAGCTCTTCCCGAACTTAAAAACGGTGTGTTCCAGAACAACTTTGTTTGTGCTCTATGGCTGTGCACAGAATTATGTATTATCATTGAGGTTAAACATGCAACTTCTGAATTCTGATTGGACATGGGTTTAAACCGAACCAAATTACTTTTGCTGTCAGTGTTTATTAGAAATTTGTTAAGCTCAGCTAGTCAGCTACTCATGGTTCAGGTTTTCGCCAATCCAACTCTAAGTCAACACTACATTCATCAAATGGCTTTCTGTGTGCAAAATCTTGCTAATGTCCTTCCTGCGGATATGAGCTCTGAGTTCGCCAGCTATGCTTGTTTGCTTGGTAATACATTGGAAACTGCAAGTGTTGCGTTGTCGCAGCCTAACTGCTCATTTGAAATGGTAAGTTCCAACTGCAGTTCATTCTCATTCTTCTATTCATTCGATTTAGCTTATGATGCCATGGTATAGGGCCGCGCACTGATGCCTTGGTTATTCATAAGTTTGAGGTCTGCATTTAAATTATATAACATGTTTCATTAAATAAACACAGATTGTTTTACATAATCTTGTTAAAATGAGACCTGTGTGCCCAATAGTCAACTGCTGATCTTCTGAAAGAATAGCTAAGTTTTTGGATATGATAATTTAATATTGAATATTAATTGTAACTTCCAACTAAGACCATCGTTTGGTTGGGGAAGTGTGTTAAGAAGGTCGACGTAAAAATGAAGAGAACTCCAGAGCGCATTTTGAGTCTAATTTTCATTTATATATTTTGACCAGGCACTTGGTATTGCATCTGTTGCAACATTCTTATTGGAGACACTTCCTCCTGTAAAATCGTCAGAAAGAGAAAATGAACAGAGTACGGATTCTTTGACATAATATTGCTTGTTACTCCTTGAGAATTTTTGACAGATAAATGCTTGCTCTTCTTGATGAATTTGGTCAGATTTTGATAGAGACTTGCTTTTGGTGAAATTCAGGCTCTTTGGATGAAGACGATATGATTATTGACGAGGCACCGGGATTAGTCTTAAATAGGGCTCTTGAGCAGCAGATAACCAATGCTATGGATACACGGTTTCTTCTGCAGTTAGTATGTATCCATCACTTGCAATATGAACTGCTTTGAGTGGAGTTCATCCTCAGGATCAAGTTTTTTTCTTGTTAATATGGGCTAATCATTTTTGGTTTTCTGTGCAGACAAATGTTTTGTTCCATCAAGTATCCCTCGGTAGCCAGTCATATGACGAAGAAAAAGAGGCAGTAGCTATTGGCGCTGCTTGTTATTTTCTATATGCGACATTTAATACTCTCCCTCTTGAGCGAATCATGACAATTTTGGCATATAGAACTGAACTTGTGACTGTTCTGTGGAATTATATGAAGAGATGCCATGAGAATCAGAAGTGGTCATCCATGTCTAAGCTCCTACCTTACCTTCCAGGAGATGCTCCGGGTTGGCTGTTACCACTGGTTGTTTTCTGTCCTGTTTATAAGTAAGGTTTACTTGCTTTATTATTGTTTATCTGTAATTTTTTCTGAAAGTAATTTTAATTATGGTTTGAGGGCATAGAACTGTGTTACTTAACGGCCTCATTGTTTGTCAGGCATATGCTTATGATTGTCGATAATGAGGAATTTTATGAGCGAGAAAAGCCATTGTCACTACAGGATATTAGGTTGCTTATCATTATTCTTAAGCAGGTGAGTGTTTGGATGGACACCATTTCTTCTGATTATTTCCTTCAGCCACTCTTGAGTTGTGGTCACATGTAACTCATGAGATTACAAGTTTAGTTTTTCACATAGTGATTAGCTAAAGCCTTATACTTCTATCAGTAACCTGAAAGAAAATGGCTTGAATTGGCTGTGCTCTTTCTTACTCTTGCTTTGTGGATGTTCATATTTTCTGCTAAACTTTATACAACCCTTTCTACTGGGCTCT